AAATTACTTTCTAGCTAAGAGCCATAACAACTATCGAGCATTGGTATCTGCCTTATTCGACAAGTTCAGAGTGATACACGAAAAGGAAGTATCCAATGCAAAGTTCCAGAAAAGAAAGGACCATAGATGAACTCACAGAAGACTTGGAAAGGCTTTCCCAGTTATCTTATGTGGATACTTTACGTGAAATAATGGATTCATTGGCATGTAACCAATTCTATAGATGCCATGACAGATGAAAATATATATATTAGCCAGAAACAAAGAAGGTGCACATCTTTATAGGAAGCTCCTCAGCTGGTTATGAAATTTGAATCCATTAAAGTCGCAGATAAAATAACTTAAGGCACAATCCAGAAGCTACGGGATCATCAGACAAGGAATTGTTTAGACGAATAGTCACACAGAACAGAGGAAATAAAACACCAGATAATAGGTGTTTTAAGTGCAACTTGAAGGGACATATTCCTCAGACCTGCATACGAAAGTCTTTATGAAATATAAACTCCTTCCAAGCGTTCTCAGAAAAATTTAACTATTATAATTGTGTGAAACATAACCAATACAATTGGTACTATGAAGAATATACAGCTGTTAATAAATCAAGAAGACAGTACCCTAAGGACGAGTCTTTGGGCCCAGCCAGATCAAACAAACAACAAAGAGCAAATCAGATAAGAGAAAACAGAATCGTACAGGACTTATGGAACGAAGTTCAGTTGAAAATGCTACATCTGTTTCAAACGAGACAAGAAGTTCAATATTTATGTAAACCCACGAGTCACTGGGTTTATTAACGGGAAGCACTGCAGTATGCTGATTGATGCTGACTCTATAACTACTGTACTTAATTAGATCTGAAGAGAAATGCAATTTTGAAATCAAGTGTTACAGTTCTCAAGTTTAATAACATTTGACAACATTCTGAAAAAGACATTTTAATATTCATACTTCAACCACTGATCATTACTAATCATGCTAAATACGATTAAATCAACAACAAGTGTTCCTTTTCTTGCATTCTAATAACACTCATTATTTCTTTGATATTGATTATAATCAGTCACAAACAATTAATAAAGCATGATGCCATTTAAGTATTTTTTAATTATTTTGTTAAGAAATGTAGCTTATAAATATTAGTCAATATATGAAAAGACATTTATTGATTAGTGAATGACTGCCAAGAAAATGTACTGGCAAGTACAAGTCGACCAAGCAAGAGAAAATAGCCGTTACTGTAGAAAATTGATTGCAGCAATTTATCATGTAACCATTTGGATTATGTAGTACACCTGTACACTGTAATCATTTCAATGATTAACGGAGTGTGCTCTTTTTGAACTGCCCTGGAATGTCGTAATAATCTACTTGTAGGGCATAACCATACATTGGAAGACCTTTGATAATGCTTATGAGGAGCTAATGAAACTATACTGGATCAGTTGAGGAAGATAAAATTCCAAAACGATGGAATCGCTCCATCAGCAGTTGAGTTTCCTAGGATCCATAGTCTGCACACAGAGATAATCCATAAATCCAGCTAAGATGTTGCAGAAAATGGTTACTATACTTTGTTTAATGAAGAGTAACGGCCAGAATCTAGTAAAAAATATTTATTTCCTCAATGTTTCACCTCACAGCTTTATCAAGAAGTAGACACCCTACTGAACAGAAGCCCAGACTTAATCCTATATGCAGGAGTTCATATGAAAATCACCTTTCCCTCTGTCTTGTTAGAGACTGAGTCAGATTGACGTCATCAACTGACAAACATGTCTTGAGTATAATACGTTTCTAAAACATGCTATTTTTGTGTACAACATATTTCCACATTTCGTATACTTAAATGTAGTAATTTTAGGATTCTAGTCAGCAATTCTTCTCCAAAATGGAGCCAGTCCAGTGGACTAACTCCTTACGCATTTGCTTATCAGAATAAACAACTGATGTGTTTCAAAATAATAACCATGTGTTCTTATGTATCATGTGATATGTGACTACATCACAAATGATAAAAAGTAACAATTATGTATGGCTGGGGTGGCCCATTATTGTTGGGAATAGTACTATGATTCAATCGAATTTCATGATTTACATTACAAACATTAATATTTTCATAAATGTATCCATGTCCATAAAAGGATATAGTTTCGAAGAATTCCACTCCTCATCAGTGACCCTGGACACTACCACCGAATAAAACTTCAGACCAAACTAAACCTTTATAGTAGTGAGGTATCGAAAATCGAAATGGTGTATGAAACTAGTATGGCCCACAGACACATCCGAAATGAAATAATAGACCATTCCAAGCTTTTACTTGTTGTTAAACAAATGTTTAAACAACTCTGTTCAATTATGTTTAAGCTGTCTAGTGTCGGCTAAAAATACGAAGAATTAAATTGTGGCGGAATGCTTCAAGTTCTTCAAATACCAATAGAATGATAGGTTTCTTTTTTCTGAGTGCAAAGAACTTAAATACAAAATTCTGATATGATACTATTTTTTCAAAACAGCCTACCAGTCACATCATAAAGAATACCCTTTAGAAAAATTTTTGAGTCTGTTGTTTGAACGACCAGAGTCACTAATGGAAGTTGTGTACATAAAAATATTCACAATACCTTGTGGTATGACATTCTTACAACAACACTTTAGTAGAAATCCTATCTGTTCACTTGTAATGGCAAGTTTCACACTGAGTATAAAGTAGCAGAAAAATATTGGATGAAAATCCAGCAAAACTTAGGTAACACTGGGGTGTAAACTTGAAAAGAAACAGCCGGTATCTAGAGAAAATTATTTACTTCATAAACACTTCACTTTACAGCTTTATCAAGAGATAGACACCATAATGAATACAAGCTGATGTAATTAAAAGTAATAAAAATTTGTTCTTATGTATCGTCTGACAGTCACTCTGACTTGAAACCACGTTATCAACAATAAAAAGGTAACAATAATAAACGTATGACAAGAATATAAGCACAGTGAAGAAAATACTCAAATATTCGTTAAGAAGTGAAAATAAAAAGATTAGTCATATGAAAATTCAAACCTAATAGCTCTTATAGCTTTATAATGGTTGGAGCCGGCTTGAATGGGTAATGAAGAAAAACTTTTATATAAGTTTATCATACCCATTACCCATTCAAGCCGTCTCCAACCATTATTAGTCTCAAAGTGGGTTCCTCGTCATCGAACTTTTGCAGCTTTATTTAATCCTCGCTAGGGGTTAATTGTCATTTGAAGTTTAGGATTTAATTTAACAGACAGGGGGACACAAACAGAACTGATAATAACTTCTAAATCAAACCCCGGATTTTAGCGTTGTAAATTCGGAGAGTTACTGCTGAACTACCGGAGGGGAGGGGTCGAGTGGAACTTCAAGACTGAGAACAATGTATTAAACTACCTTTAATATAATTGATAAGTTTTAAAATTGCTAAGACGATATATATATATATTGTTACGTCTCCGTTCGTTAGTTAATTTTCAGTAACTTCGTTCCGGCGAAACTTTAGCGACACAAGTCCTTTCTTAAATAAAACTGGTTTCTTCTTTCTGAATATAACTTTGCGATACACTTAA